ACATGAACGGACAGCACAAATAAACTCCAGCATAGTTACCACTACTTTCAGGTTTGATTTACCTGAGCAAGGTCTCCTTGGCTTGTCTTTCCATGTAGCATCATCTCCTGCTTCGACCTGCAGGAAACCAAAGGGAGAAAGTTTTCTGTGTGAGTTATACACTTTTTTTCAAAAGAACCTTTATATAAAACCCCCTATGCTTTCTGTGTTGCTGGAGTTGCCTGAGGCGGCTCTGTCATTGTTGATAATACATTAAGCACAATGCATCAGCATGCCAGAGAAAAAGATTTCCCAGGATCAGCTATGCCCTTTGTAGAGCACTAAGCAAGAATGACTAAGGTATAAAAGGGCATACTGTCGTGAAGCTTTTATGTGAGTGGGGACTGCAGGGGCAGAGAAGACATTAATGCCTTCTGCAAGCCATGAAGAAATTAGCAAGAAGTATAAATGGGAAATCAAAGACAAGTAAAACAGTCACACATCCAGAAAATCACCTGGACAACAGAGCTGAGTGATAGAGAAGCAAGAATCTTATTTTCATGTGATGGCACAACAGGCTGCAGAGATGGGGGTTAGTTTGGCGTCCATGGGCTCCTTCCTGCTGACACTGCTGAATCAGAAGAGTTTACTGCAGAACAATCTGAGCAATATCTTGAATCTTCAACCCCAGTTTTGCATAATTAAACCACAGTGGTTCAGTGGTCAGGACTGTAAGTGAAAAGAAAGGATAGAGTCAGTTTGCAGGAAGCAGATGTCCTGTGACAGATGACCAAGTTATCTTTAAGCTGATACATAAACTGGTTCCTTTGCAAATCAGCAGAATGCAATACCCAGCTGCTATAGCCTCCCCGAGTGTAATGTGTGCATCTGCACTTTCTACTTGATTTCCTCTGCCCTGTCCCCTGCTGTACTCTGTGAAACTTCCTAAGGTTACAAAGGATGCTTCCAAGTTACAAAATTGTCCCTGATAAAATTGATACCATAGTGGTACTTTTTGATGAAGCTATTAGTAAACCCAAATATTCCACAGTTCTTGTGTGTTCCAGCCAACCCTTCACAACCGAGACTGAGACAGATGTATTTGATGAAACAAAAAACCAAACAAACTCCCCCTTCCTTGCCCCTCTCCCCCCGCCAAAAGGAAATAAAAGTCAGACCTATAATTATTCTACCAGCAGCAGACTGGTGATTCAGTAGACCGAAGACATGAGGATACAAAACTTTGTGTGGGCAAATATGCCCAGAGTCTTTGAAGTTATAAACCTTGCATTGGCAGTTGTTAAAATCTGTTTAACAGTCAATGTTGGAGGGCTCACCAGAATGCATTTGTAGAACTTCTTGCGTACCGGAAAGCTTCACTTATTTGAGCGTAATCAGCACATCACCTTCTCCTTTTCCCATTGTTTACATTTTTTACAAAATGACCTATCCTACTATCATTCCAGTCAAATTTTAAAAGCATGTAATTGCTCCTATCTCCACGACAGCAATATCCCCTCAATGATCCCTCCACCTCAGAGGGGTGCATGTAACAGGGTCTTTTGAGTTGCACCCCAGTGGCCAAGGCTTTGAAAAAACATTTGAAAGGCCAGAAAGTGCCAAGGTATATAGAGATTGTCAAGGTTGGCTAAGGGGAGTGCCACCCCTCTGCTTCAGTAATCACTCAGTTTAAGGGTGTAGGGGCTGCTAGGGCAACCCAGGGCCATCCATCAAATCCTTCCTGAAAGGTATCTGAGAGCTAATCTGCATTTTACACAGCAGCTGCAAAAAGGAGCAGTGATGCTAAATCATGGATCAGCAAGCCTCTAATGTGTCTAGCAAACACTTTTTTTAGATTTTTCTCCAAGATTAAAGGCTTTCCTTTGGTTATCTTTCTTGGCAATACAGAGAAAAAAAATGTAATTTTTGTTAAAGAAATACTCCTTTTTAACTGATGGAAACTGTTAGCTGCATAAGGAATTGAAGGAAATTACATTATTTGCTTAATAATAATTAACATGGGAGTGTTTGTAAAAAATAAGGGATTGCATTTGATTTCATATTCTTATAGCATTAATCAAAATTATCTAGTTGCTAAATAAAAATCATCCTCCTTCTCCTCCCTGAATGTGGTTCCCTACAGAAAGCTTGGGAAGAGAAAATTGCAGTTGAACATTATGCCAGAGACTTGTCCCCAGTTCAGTTCTGATGGCCTTTTTTCCTCTGTTTCTGCCAGAGTGAGCTGGTTCACTGCAGGGAGCACCTGAGAGGCCTTCAAAGGAGTTGCAGGGCTGGAGAAGAGCAGCTCAGAGCTCTCTGCCTTGCTCACATCACCCCAACAGCCACAGAGGGAAAACACTCCTGACACGGCATTTCCTTTGCTGCGTGCTCGGCCGCTGTGTGATGGGCAGGAATAGCAGGAGGTGACTCTGGTGATTTCAAGCTTTAATACCCAGCTCTGTGGGGCCAGCTTCCAACAGGTGAGTGAAATGAAGAAAGAATGGGGCTTTTTTCATATTGATAAATCCAGCTGAATTGTGAGCATTCCTGCAAGGCTCTGATAAGAGCTTTATCAAGCATGTATTACATCAACTGGCTGCCACCCTGGCCCCCTGATCAGCTGCTTTTCCTAGCAACAGTACCCAGACAATAAGCTCACAGCTATTGAGGGAGCACTTCACTGTCAGGGGAGGTGCTGTTACAGTAATTCATGCTTGAGACCAGGTGTAAAGATGGACAACCACACCCAGGTTTATACACACAAACATGTTGGGAGAACTGAGGATCTTTCAAAGATCCTCTTCAGCTCAAACTTCAGTTCTGTCCATCTGAGAGTTCCTCCATCTTCATAAGCTGCTCATTGGGAAGTCAAGAGAAATAACTAAATAATTAAACATGAACTTGTGAGAAATGTAATTTCCAGATGTGTTTTTAATACAACATGTGATTAACAACATTAACAAGGTTTATTAAGCTCTATAAGGACTTTGCAGAAAAGCTTTAGTGGGAATGTAGAGGACAGAACTCTTGATCTAGAAAAGAAAAAAAAGAAGCCCATGAATATAATTTCTTTTGTTGCAATGAGACTGAGTTTGCAATTTCTTGGATTAAACTGGAAACAGACTATGAGAGTCTGTCAAAGATCTAAGAATTCTGAGATACTTCAAGCATTCAGATTTTCATCACAGGCAATATTAAAATCCTGCCTAAGAATAATATTCTTTGTCTCGTATTTACATGAATAAAGACTAAGTCCACTTAGGAAATACAATATCTTGATTTAAAGGGAATTAATTTTGACCATCAAAAATGGTAGAAGAATATGTCTCACATTGAAAATAAAAGCCAGTCTGCCCACGGAACATATGCTGCTGTCCATATCTGTGCACCTCCTCTGAAAGAGGTATGATGGTTTTTCCTGAAGCTATCCTGGGATAATTGTGTCTTTGTCCTTTATAAAATCACATGTATTTTTCTAAGCAAAGCAAGGGTCCCAATGGTGCCATTAGAAATAATCCTTTAAGAGATTTCTAAAGATATGTCTTGTTTAACTTCAACGGAGAGTTAACTAAACACTCTACAGAAATTTTCTTTTTTCTCCTAACCAACAATAGATCCCTGTGAGTGTCAAAGTCAGTCATACACAATCAAATGTGCTGGCATAAAAGTACATTTGATATAGGAGTGAGAGTCATGCTCTCACTCCTATAAAAAGTAAATAAATGGTGCCAATAAAGACATGCCAACATGTGAGAATAAACCTTTTGTTTTAAAGCACATGTAACCAAAGAACATTTAGACTCATAAATTCATTTAGACTCAGGTCTTGGCTGTTTGGGAGTCTCTCTCAATGACTGGATCACCAGAAGACTATTTGGTGAGTTTTCATGCACAGATACCACAAAATAGCAAAAAAGCTTCATTTCCTTGAAAGTGCATTCTTATTGAGTTGTCACAGGAAGAGAATAGAAGTAAATTTGTCTTAGTCTCTCATTTCCTTGCAACACTACCCACTGTAGCTAGCACCAGGGAAGATTTGCTTTTTCAATTCCAAATGCACAGTGTCAGGATCTAACTGAATTATGCTTGCCAGGAATGGACTTATACTTCCCAGGTAATAAAAATTACTTGTATCAAGGTATCAGAAAAAGGCTACACACCATGCAATACCTGGATGGACTTGCCAAATCATCTGAACGAGGATTATTAATAGAAAAAAGGTGAATGTAGTGCTTTTAGTAGAGACTTCATTACCTCACAAACTAAGCAACAGTTGTTTCAGAAAATCAAACAAGCCCCATGGCTCATTCCTCCAAATTTTTGCCATCTGCATCACTTTAAAATAGTCACATAAAAATGACATTTTTGAAAAGTTGTGGTATTTTTTTAACAGAAAAATTTAATTCTCATTCAGTGTTCTGTGAACAAAAACTTCAACACTTCTAAGAAATTAAAAAAGAAAGTGGTGAGCACATAAGGTTCTTGCTACATCTGTTAGGAAGCAGAAAAAATCACAGAACCCCAGAAATGGGGGTAGTGGAACAAGAAAAGTGGATAAAAGAGCTGTATCCCAGAGACAGGTATATGATGGCTGTGAGTCACAAGAACTTACTCCCAAAAAACCTCAGAGTGCCTTATAATGACATAATAAGTCAAGGATGGGCTGTACCTTTCTAGTAAAGTATTTCAGAAAGCTCCACTGAACTTTTTCTCCTGAAATACTTCTTTTCAGGGCCCCTAGGCAAAGAGAATGATCTAAGCTAATATATTTCTCTGCCACTAAGACAGGGTGTAAGACATGTTGTTCAGCCTGCAGTGCCTTAAGAGTATCTTGTATCCAACTGATATAAAGCATCTCTTATTTCTCAGAGGACAGAACCCCATGGCTCAGTTGTGAGAGTTGAGATTAAAAGATTTACAGTACATAAAGTCATTATAATACTGTCTTACCTGGAGTGTGTGTCTTCCTCCATGGCTTCAGTGATAGGATTTCTGTCTCTGGTATTAATTTCTACTGGTTGGGGCTGTGAACATTTCTTGTTGAGCTGTTTGGCAAAGACAGATCTTAGATATTTTAGAAAACAGTAAAATATGTTTGCTTCCTAAGGGATATGCTGATTTATTAATATAAATTTTGAAGGATGTCTGTGTCTAATAGTCTCTTATTTTAACATGTGGAGCTATAAAATAATTAACTGGGGCTCTGGAGACTTTATTTTCTACCTGGGTATTCTTTGCAGTACTCAGATCTGACCATGTATTGTTATATGTTTATCCACCTTGTGAACTTCTCCAAAATAATCTAACCCAGTTGGTTTTGACCTTTTTCAATTTGCAAACCTCTAAATGTTTCCTGGTAAGATTATGAACCCTCTCTGCACTCTGAATTTGAGATAATGTGTAATAGCATTTATTTCCTTTGTTACTTTGGAGGGATTGCCTGGAAATGGTCCCTTTGCAGTGGTTACAGGCCAGAGGTTCAAAACTATGTGTAATTTTCTGGCCAAAGTCACAACTAGAGTAACTTGGCATAATTCTGTTGATTTGAAAGGAAAAATCTTTTGATAGCAGCAGTTAGAATAATGGCTAGTTTACTGTACATTAGCTGAGGAACTATCCCTGCCTTTAGTCCTTCTCTTAGATTTCATTGTGACTAAGATTGAGCTCCACTTCAATGTAATTGTATCTCCTTTGTACTCCTTTCTTACTACTCAGACTAGAACACATTGAAGAGCCCAAGAGGAATCTTAAAAAAAAATTACATAGGAAATCTCATCAGAAAATTCCTACAATTTTATTTTATGCTTAGTCTCAGATGTATCCTAGATATCTAGTTTTTAAAGGTGGCTCTTCAGTCAGGTATTATCTTTCATCTCAGTGGCACAGTCTTAACACATGCACAACTCTGATAGAAATTACACAGTTAGTAACATAAACTTTTCTTGACTTCTCTGATCAAGTAGTTCTACTGTTAAAGTCTTGAGTGAGGTATTTTTGAATAGAGTTATGCTGATTTATACCAGTTGATCATATGCCCAATTTTCTGAATATGCTTCAGGCTCTTCAGGAGTGAGTGCAAAGGAAATAATGTTCCTGTTTCTTATGAAAAAGAAAAGCACAAATAGTTCAGTAGATATTAAGAAAAGTAACAATTAGGTCTGAAATGTTTTTAACTAGATATCTTTTCTGAAGATAGTTAGAAGTATTTACATTTAAAAGACAAGAAAATCTCTGAAAAAATTAGAGAAAAATGGAAAATTGTCTTTTATGCTGTTGCTGTGTAGCTCACTTTGCAGCTCCATCACATGACAACGAATAAGTAAAGAAAACTATTATTATGCAAACTGCTCCAGGACAAAAGGGTATTACATATCTCATACAAAAGGGGGTTTCTTTAAAAAGCACAGCACATTCAGTGTTTAGGGTTTGCAGTTGAAATTCATGGCCTCGCTTGCCAATATTATCATGCAGCTGGGTATTATGCTATTGCTTTACTCTGAGGGGAGAAAAAAATCACAATAAACATTTTCAAATGGGCTCCTATTAAACATTTGTATTCTCTTATGTGACAATATCAGTTTTAATGATTTTTAGCATTTCTTCTCTAGTGAAAAGGTCACCATAAAGACTACCACAGAGACTATGATTACAAAAAGGTGCTTCTTTTAACTTAAAAAAATTATCACTGGAAAAGAGCATTAGGCATTATTTTAGTGTTGAGAACTGATGGGATTAATAATATTTTTTCTCTTATTTAACAGCTATGAGATAGAAGTCCATCTTTCTGTAGAGAAGGCTGCTGACAGAATCTCTTGTATTTGTTCTGTGAAACAAGAGTTTATTTTTTAAATTTTAATTCAAATTCTTTTATTATCTTTCCAGAAAGTCTCTCTTGTTTAAGTAAAAACAAATCAGCTGACCCAAAACATTCCTGATGAATAAAAGATTAAATGTAGTATCAGAAATCTTCATCTCTTCATGACATGATTAGTGAAGCACTAATTTAAATAAGTAAATCACATCTGTCTTGACAGAGTTGGGTGTTTCCTGCACCTTCTATATGCAACCTTTGTCATATGATTATTGTGAACTAGCTTATTAAGCATCAAAATTTTTTCCTAAAACTCTTTTAAAGGAAAATAATAGCAAGTCAGAAAATACAAGTGAAACAGTTGTAGAGGAACAGCTTAAACTGTTTTTCATTTCCATATGTCACATTTCTTCTCTGGCTCTTTGATACTTCCATCTCTGGGTATCTCCAGATGTGTTTTCAAGTTCTTATTTCTGATGTTGTTTTCTGTTTTTCCCTGAGTTGCCTGAGCAGTGTCATCATAAACTGCTAAAAGATATGTACTCTCAGTGATGTTATGTACTAAAATACAAAGGAATGGCACAAAATGAACAGTTTTATGGCATAGGAAAAAAAAAAAAAAGAAGCTATGAAATTGTTGCTTGGCAGGAATTAGTACAGAAGACAGTCTGAGACACTGAGCACACTATGGCATCCAAGCACTAAATTTTTACTTGCCCTGGGTGTGCAACAGAGTTAGCAAAACAGGGGAGGTCTTTGAAAAGCTCTATAGCAGTCAACATACAATGTGAACATACCTTCATTTCTCTTTCATTAATCAAAAGTATGATCAGATCAACAGGTGCCACAAAATACTTGCCCCAATCTCATTTGCTTATAAATAACCCTTCTTTGTGGTGCTTACAGTCTTACACCAAATATTTAATTGTTTTGTCTTTTTAGGTATCAGGTATGTTGGGAAAAGTAGTGGTGACAGAAATCTAATCCCAAATTAACACCAAATGGTGTAGTTAGGCGTGTGCCATAGCATTGAGATAGATGTTATTTGCACACCATTTTGTTCCTAAGCTGTGTATAAAGAACCAGTTATTGAAATTTACTACACACGATCAAGCATTTTGATATTCTCTCTTCTATTTTCTCTACTTCTGGTTACTAAAAATACAGTTCCAAACTTTTGTGTCAAACAGACATCAAGAATAGATTTGTGCATTTTGCAGTCATCAGTGTGCATGGTACTTACACTCTCTACATCATTGCAACCTGGTTAACTGAGCTTCCAGCTTTCAGGAGCAGAAAGGGGATCAGCAATACAGGCCTGTACTTCTCAGAATACTCTGTTCAGCACCAGGGCAAAATGCCATAGCCCTTTTAAAATAGTCAAACAGATTACCCCTGTTTTATCAAAGGGAAGATTTGGTCCCAGATGCTTGAAGAAATTCAAGGTGCAAGGCAGATCTTTGCAGTGCCATAGCTGCTGTACCACCATGTGGAAAGTCTGCACTGCTCCAATGATTCTGATGACTGAAAATTTTTCTTTGCTTGTAAGACTGCTAGAAGACGAGCCATCCTGACAGTTTTGTTTATTGGCTTTAGTGGAATGTAAAAACTATATATCTGTCCATAATAGCTGAGAGTCCTCCTGGGGAAATACTGGTTTGCCAAGATTTGTGTTCCTTTCACTGTGCCATTCATAGGATTAGGAGAAGAGGAATTTTGTCCAAAAGGGAAACTGGTTTGGAAACTATGTTTTCATTTAGAGGGGAGTTCTGCTGATGCACTGAAATGTCTTTTCTTTTTCTGAACAAAGAGTCTGAAACTTCAAAATTTAAAATAACAAAACTATCCTAAACATTTGAGTAAAAGTAAGCAAAAGAAGTAATTTGATTGTTCAAATGATAAAATATTTTTGTGAACAGTGAAGCTGTGTAATCTGTGGTGCCCTGATACAATTTGTAGCTGTAACAGTCTCACAAAATTAACTTAAAGCAGTAACATGGGAAAGTCAGGCTTGACTTTTTATTGGTGGCACTCAGACAAGTGGTAACACTGACCACTTTAAACAAGTGGCACTTTCAGCAGCTCAAAGAAAATGTCTACAAGGCCAGAATCACCTATCTTCACTTCATGAGTTACTGAGACATCTCCAAAATATTTACCAATCACTTTCAGGTTTAATATCTTGGAGGTGATACAACATCCTTCTCCTCATGCTTAATAGTCACAGTTCACTACTTGATTATTGTCCCATCCACATTAATGAAGGAGGAGGAAGAGATCTGCTGTGCTTCCTCTGCCCTGTGCACCACTTTGTGTGGGACAAGCTTTGGAACATGTGACATTGGGAATACTGTGTAGAACATCCCATGAGACTGGCTGGATAGTGCCCCTATACAACCTTGCATAAATACTAGTTTGTTCATACTTCCATTTAAGTAGGATTTGTTATTTTCCACATTTTCCACATAGAAACATTTTGGTGGTCTTTTTTTTTAAAATTCTTTGTTTTTCTGGAATAATCAGAACAACAATACAAGATTAAGAAAATGCATTAAATGAGACATAGTAATTGCTGGCTGTGATTAATTAGTGATTGTAAGCCCACCCACATACATAGCTTCAATTGCTAGTAATTTACTTGCATGAATTCAATAGAAGCAGACAAATTTCAAAATACCTCAATCACTATTATTTTAATTGACAATTTGTCTGTTGTAACTGCTCCAAAAAACTTAACGTTTCTTAAATTCATAACAGACAAAGTAGGATTGTGTTACCTAGATTGATAAGGAGCCTGAAGCCTACCCAAAGACCTTTAGTCAACACTCAAAATAGCCTTCCTTGCTACGTTTGCTTTCAGCCTCCCAAAAGAGTTTCTCTCATTTACTTGTCCATAGCAAAGGAGAGGATTTGTAGCTTTGTTTTCAAGCACTCTTCAGTTCCAATGACAGGAAGCCATTCAAGGCCCATATCAGGGTCTTGACCACTTGGGTTACTATGATGTGATGACTTCCTAGGGAATTCAGTCACATGGGCTTAATGGCATTTGGGGTTCTGGCTATCCCTGGTAGTTACTCAGGGGTGAGCCTCTCATGCTACACTGGAAGACTTCTGCCTAATGCATCCTCATGCTCTTGCTGCTCCCCTCATACAGATCTGTCAGACATATTTTTGCTTCAAAATACAATTCAAAAAATTCTTCAAATCATCTAGGCCATGTTATTAAAAATTCTTGTGTATTGTCTTTTAATTGTCCTAATTCTGCTGAAAGGTGAGGGTCAATTCTTACAAAACAGTATTTGCAATTACAGTATCACAATTCAACACTGACCACAAGTATTAAACCAGGGCACACGAGTGAACATAGTTTATCCTTCGCTTAAACCATCAGTGTGGCTTTTGAACATGGTTTTAAAATAGCATTATCTAAAAAACTCCAATGTTATTAATCACTTCTTACAAGACCTTTAGAGGTTCTCCCTTTTCCTGTTCATAAATCCTTAATCTTTGCATTAAATTTTTTCTCAGACAGGAAACAGTAACAATTGATTTACATGGACAAAATCAGCTTTTCTCAGTTTTCAGTCCAGCTTCCTCTGAGATCTCATTGACCTCTAAAGTTCAACTTCTTCCAAGAAAGTTTTCTTTGGGATTAATAGACTTCAGCATCAAATCATTGAATGCCATAGATGTAGCAGTGCTATAAGTAAAACTTCAGCCTTTCCACATAAACTCTTATTTTCAGAGGTTTATAGTTTGGCTAAAAAAATACAATTTTATGCTGAAACTTAGTTTAAAAAGCTCAGTCTGGAAGTGATTTCAGTTTCTGAAAAATCTGCACAACTCTGTGGTTGTTTTCAGATTAAAATTCTGACCAAGACTATGACTTGCTGTCTATATCCCATTGAGGGCTGACTTTCTAAAAGTGCAGATCCACTCCTGAAAAATTATAGAAAGGCAAGCTAAAAAGGTGTTTTAAAAATGGTTATCCCATATGTTAAAGATTTTCAAATTGGATCTAGTCCCTGCTTTTCTGGAAGACAGTCGAATCATTGGAACACCACAGTATTTTTCAGAGGATTTCAGCAGGCTGAGATGTGAGCCCAACTGCTCTGCAGTGATGGAGGCTCTCAAGGTTTCTCTGAGTGCCGGCATGCAGAGTAATGGGGGAGCCTGCTGGTCCTGCAGCAGTTAGAAATGCTGATGGATTGGGGGATGAAAACCTTGTAGAAAGGAGGCTCAAGAAAATCTAAATTGGCAAGTTTGGGGAAACTGGTGCCTCCTGCTTCTTCAGGAGCCATGGGAGTGCTCTGGTGGTTGGGGCTGAGTGCCAGGAGGGACAGGTGAGGGAGAGAAGGAATCAGGCACCTCTCCAGCATCCTGAAACAAAATCCTCACCATAATTAGAGATGAAACCAACAGAACTTACTTACATGCTGGTTTGCACAATCGCCTTCAGAAGGGATTTGGAGGCACCATCTGGAGGGAAGGATGACAGAGAGATGCCATGAAATTTCCAGTTTCCTTTGTAGGTAATTCCTGTAAAGGGATGACTTGCTCCTGACTCAGTGCTGCTGGAGATGGGAATACAAACACCACACACCATGCAAATGTGTTCAAGGCCACAGGCTGCAAATGTAATTGCTTCAAAGCAAAATATTTTCATCTGAGATGGTGACCCAGTGAAATACACTGCTTCTTGTAACCACTCATTCTTTCCACAACAGAAATTTGAACAAGCCAGAGGCAATATTCTGCCCCCAACTGCTCTCAAACTGGTCACCAAAACTAAAAATATCCCATCAGTCTTTCCACATAAGTACAGCACAATTTCTTATGCCCATGTCCAGCAGCAGGAAGACTATTTCATTTAATCAATAAAAATAGTATTGTAAACTCTTGCCATGTGAAGTAAAAGGCCAAGGCACCCTCTAGATTATCCCCTTGTTTCAGACATTGCTCCTACAATCCAGACAGGTCACCCATTTATCCCATGTTTTCAAATGAAAAGATATTTCTGCCCAACAACAGCAAGGTAACATTCTCTGAAAAATGAGGCACCAGTAACCATGCAGAATTGACAGTGCAGCATCTGAGTAGGAAATACCAGCCTTCAGATCTTTGGGAGTGCTCCATTTGAAGCTAATCCAGAAATCTTTTTCTTTGGCAACAGCTCATTATAACTAGGCAAATTCAGTCCAAACTCTGAAACTTCTTTTGAAGGCATAATGGCGGGGGAACCTCACAGACAGGATTAGAAGGAAGATAAGGAGGTAGCTTTACAGATGTCTGAAGGAGCACTTTCCAAATGTAAGGAATGGCATGGGATAAAGCTTCAGAGTGAGTGACTGAAAATCTAAGTCAATGAAGGAGGCTGGCATCATGGGCTAATCAGTGAAAGAAGTGATTTCTTGATCCTGCATGAGAGATGATAGGTAGGATGAGGTGCAGGCTTTGAAGGTGAAGACAAGCTGCTTATATCTGATAGAAAAAGGGTGTTACATTTGACAGCCAAAGTGATGGGCTAGGCAAATGATCTCTGCAGTGCTACAATGTATAGAAGCATGCTGCAAAATTGCATTTTTCAGAAGCAGAGAAATGGCTTTTGAAATCCTTGTAAGAGCTTGGTAATTACATACATATATATTAATTCTTACACAGTAATAATCTCTAACTTCTATAACTCACTTCCATAAGACAATTATTTTTAATGGTTGTTTTAAACTTAAACTAAGCATGTTTCATGGGAAGGTGGGAATTTTATTGGACATATCTAATAACATTGTTTTGTGCCCGTGTTTTCATTGTAGCATTCCTTTAAAATTTCTATTTTATAGGAGAAAAAAATGACTTGCTAAAAAATCCTTTTTTGCATCCAACTCTTTTAGGTTTTGACTAAATCTTTTCATTTAAATACAGCACCTGAGGTCATTCAATGCTCATATCCATGGCAATTACATAATGTCTTAGCTGGTGGTCTCAGCTAATTCCTCTCTGGGCTTTGGTGGCTGAGGAGAGGTTGTCCATTACAACTTGGAGATGACTCTGGAAACTCAGTATGCTGGATAACACAGACATCAAGTTGCTAAATGCACCAAACCTCTGAGACATAACGATTTAACAGCACTTCTCCACTTTGTTTGGCAGTATTACATTAGAGTGGTTCTTTCCATAATACATATTAAATTAATTTTATTCCCTGTTGTAGCATATCCATAATTTCCCCAATGCAGAGACTGGTGCATACACATTTTTCCAGGGCAAGGCTCTTCCTATTAATAGACAACTTGGCTCCACACACTGAGATGAACGAACAAGGTTTGGAGTGCCTAATTTAAGGGACCATATGTCATAAGCTATAGTATCCTGTTAGATTGGAATAAAACAAAGAGTGAAAAGAAAAATAGCTTCCTACCATTAGCTGACCTCAGATTGAAATTTTTGAAAATGTTTATTTAAGTGGGATTAGAACTATTTACTTATTCTGTGCATCATATGAAGTTATGCATATTTCTTGATTGGGATGCTGCCTCAGAAAAAGAACTTCTCAGCATTATCACAAGACAAAAATAACACAGTGATCCTGAATTTTTTTTCCTGGAACTGCCTTCAAAGTGTGGCCAGCTTCACATTTTTCTGCTTTGACTTTCCAGCTTGTAAAAACTGGAATACAGTTGTTTACTGTTTGTTTTGTGTCCTGTGATTGTAAGATATTGCAATCTTTCCTCCGCTAATGTAAAATAGACTGGTGGATAAATGTCCTTTTTTTTAGCAAATTATATTAATTACTATTATTGTTTAACCAGCCCATCTCAACTGCACAGTTCAAAGAAATGTGCTCTTTCAGACTCTTAGGGTTGTTATATAATCAGCATTCCTCACAAATATTTGAATGATTAGAGCTATCAATCATATTTTCCTGGCAAGTTGTCCACTTTTGGGTGCAAACAGACTCAGAACTAGAAAATGTAAAAATCAGCATTTTCATTTACTTCCTCCAGCTCATCCCATACATTCCTACTGGGTTTTTTTTCCTTCTCTGCTTACTCTTTCTCTAAATATCTCTTGAAAAGTAACATTTCCAAATAATTTCATTCAGGTAAGGATAGGGTAAGACTGTGACCAGCTGACAGGCATACCTGTTGCTCTTCTATTTTTAGGATGTTCCATTCCATACTTCCAGTAGAGTTCCAAATTCCATTCCCCTCATGATCCAAACTGGCAGTCACAGGTTTGTCTTGGTATGAAAAACAGAAAAGGAAGACATTTCTTAGCTAACATAACTCACAATTTAATTGTTTTCTTCTTAGACTCCTTTTGTCCAAAAAGCAGCAGGATAAAAGATTTACTCTATTTACTGTGTTTATGAAAGGGAAAAATGTTTGGAGAGAAAAAATTATTTGGACTGAGGAGGAATTTTGTGCACGTATCTTAACCAGTGATTATTTGGCTGCCTTATGAATCTGTAATGCTGAATATTGCCTGCATTCAGACTCAAAAAGCAGAAATTAATAAAAAGTGACAAATAAAAGCCACACACAGGGAGAAAAATATCATTACAATAACTTATTCACATTTGCAAATACTACAGGCACTCCTCACCTTTCTTTTTGTCCTAATTTAGTTGGATACAGTGGCAATACAGAGTCAAAGGTGATTCCCAACAGCTCTGGGAATAGGGAATAAACTGATTTTAATCAACAACAAAAGTTATGCAATACAAAGGGCTGTGATGTAGCACACTGCCCTAGAGAAAACATTCCACTTCCCCAATTCAAAAATCCCTTTGGTGCTTTGTGCCTGTGGGAGGTGTCCATGAGGACCAAACCCATGTCTGTGGGAACCCATCTCTAAGGGGACGAAGAGAATTTGAAACGCGACCTTTGAGTGCCATTTAAACATCTCAGTCCTGCTGTATTTCAGTGGAATACATCACCCTATTAGCTGGGAATTTCTGGTCATTTGACTGTTTGGCAGCTTACCAAAAGTTAGATCCACTCTGTATTCCAAAGCAGAGCTCAGGGCCAGAAGTCTGACACTTCCCAGGCATATATGAGTAGGTTCACCTGCATCTGTGCCATGGTTCCTGTACATTTGGGCCATGCTGTCCTTGGGCTTTGAAAAAGGGAACGTAAATATTTTGGTATTTGTGTTTTAAAATATCAGGAAAAAGACTTTTTTTGTTTACTGTTTTCTCTTTTACTTAGACTAGTGGAGATGTAATTTAAGGAACCATACTGGCATGCGTCTTTGCAGTCTAGCAAACAAGGCTCTGGAGTTGCACTGCTGAATATGCTCAATGCAAAAATGAAATTGAAAAGTCAGGCTTTGGCTAACTGTGTGTTCCCTTTGAAGAAAGAATTGTGATTGTTGGCAGAGGAAGTAAGGAACTAGGACAAAACAAGGAAAGGAAGAAGTTGTTTCTTTCTCTCCATCAGTCAGTTCCTTAATTTTTGCTGCCAATATTATAGGTCTAATTTACAAGTTAAACATAAATCTATTTATATATTATTTCAAATTAAATTACAGAAAATCATATTGCTTGTGTGTTGAAATCTTTGAGTTTTGAGAGAAGGGAAATGAGGCAAATAAACATATGAAGCAAAGGTCATTTTGCTGTCAACAGAAAATAGCCCCAGTCAGAAAGAAAAAAATTTCCATTCACATTTAATATATTTTCAACTCAGTACGTATTTCATTCCTTTGTAATGTCATTTCTTATTACAGAGATATAGGAAGAGATCTAAAATACTTAGGTCTACAACTTTGGTGTTTCAGTCTCCAAATAATTAAACATACCGAAAAATATATCCTTGATAATGAAGAGTGAAGGAAACCTCCCTGTAGTCCTTCTTCAACAATAGATTTTGGATATAACTTGGACCATAAGATGTCAAAATAAAAGTATTATCCTGAGAAATGTGTTAATTACCCTGATTACTTAATATAACATATCTTAAGACTCTTCATGTTAGTAAAAGGATTGATGTTATGAGCTGAGTTGTTTAGGATCTTTTCTGCAGCATCTCTTACCATCCCAATAACTATAAGCAAATTTTCAATTTTATCAGAATAATTTTCTAATGTCCAGCTGAAAGATATGCATACTTTTTTTAATAATGAAAGAAAAATTACACAGGGATACCACAATATGTAACCAACAAATTGTATAACTTGTTTCAAAAATTACTTTGGCAAGTTTCTCATAGGAAATAAGGGGAAAAAATGTTTGCAAGCATGAAAAAAAATTGCATTACTTTTCTGTTGTCACATTATAGTTACAGTTCTCACCTCAAAGAAAAGCAAGAATTCAGACTTTTGTATAAACAGTTTCTAAAGCAATGGAGGCCTCTGAGATTTCCAAGAATCACTTTTAAACTGAAAATGGAAAGAATCCACTTCTGCAAAATCTGTCCTTCCTGCAGTAAAACTGCTAAAACAGAACCTTTACAAAAGGGACACAGTGCAGGAACACAGCTAAGAAACCTGTAGCAAACTTAGGTAGAGGTACAAGATAAGAATTCTGTTTGACTCCATTTCCACTGATGTAATATCTTTCATTTATTGGAAGAATAATAATACCTTTATGCATTATGTAAAAATTCCACCTTTCTTCTTTTTATTACATACTTATGGTACTGATTCTAAAAAAAATCTTTTCTCTGCCACTAAGGAACACAGGTGGAGTACTGGGCCCATGCCTAGAAATATATTATGAAAAATCTGTGAAAATAAAGAGTGAACTTCAGAAAATTAAATAACATTTCAAAGAAAATAAAAATTAGGCAGCCAGACTTTGTCTTTAAAATTTTAGAGTTTTGTTAGATTATACCCCAAGAAAATCACATGATAAACCAGATTTCTGAGCAAGCTGTAGTTTTAATATTTAGGCTAAAAAATAGATGTGACTATAAATGTAGTTCAAAACCTCGCTTGAAATAGTATCACCATAAACATTAAGGTGACCCATTCTCATAACCAAAGTGGAAGTAGGAAAGAAATCATGTCAGCCACTGATATCTTTATTTCAGTTGCAAAATACCCTCAGCTACAACTTCTTTGAAAGGGCACTGAAGGTACTGTGCCCTGCCCAGAAATTAGTCCTTATCCAGGACTAAAAAACAGTGCTGCAAACATCAAAAGAGGCTTTTCTGCAGTTTGACCCAATTTCCTAATGACAGTCAGCTTTATTCTAAAACTCTGGAAATGACTGGGTTCATCAACAAATAAGACACTGGGATTTTACTTGGTGTGAGTTTCTACATGGTGAAAAGCCTTGCAGGATCTTCCAATGGAAGATTAAAGTTCAGTGGATATTTATTGCAGAATTTTTCCTCAGTATGATAACTGAGTTTACTTGGTTGGAGAAGCTGTGAGGCCGCTTCAGTAAGTGGTCCTAAGCATGATCCTGAAGCAAGAACAAGCACTTATACTTCCATGGTGTTTCTTTCTTGATCCAAACAGAGGACAGTGATCTCACAAAGCAGAAAGGGAGTAAGTCAGTATTTGATTTAGGGTCTCTCTGGAAAAAGGTCATCTTACTGTGGGATCTGAGATTTAACCAAGGAGTATTTAATTTTTGGTGGGAAAGAAACAGCCTTCCACTTCCCCAATACATAAAGAACCTAGCTGAAAAATCCAGTTCCTTGAAGTATTCAAGGGTGTCAAATCTATAATGAAAATATTAAATGTTTTCTGTGATCCTTTTTGGGCAAGTATCTCCTGTGAAGACAGTGTCTGGCATGCCTTTAAAACTGTATATCTCAATAGCCAAAGAAAATAGGAAAGGCAGCAATATCTGAGAAACTTCCTACTCCTTTTCACATGGTGGGACTTAGAATGCCACAGGATCGGGGAGTCTCTGAGAAAAGCACTCTGTGGTGGAGAAAACAGGTTTATGTTTTTGACATTTTCTTAAAAAAAGTTACAATTTTTTATTATTACTTGGGGCCATTAAATTTGAAATAATTCATTTTTAGACAACAGTGTTTCCTAGCTGATGTGTATCCATCAGGAAAGTGTCCTGCCTTTGTTTTCTTTGATTGGTGCTATCAAAGGGAAAACTTTTGCCTTGATACAGTCTGAGGACAGAGTATCTGATAGGGAAAGATTTTGGAGCCAACATCCAAGTCTTAATGGCTCTACCAGAGTTGATATTTGAATAAATACGTAAAACGTAAATCCCTGTTTGGAAGAAAAAGCCTTTATCAGGAATCAGAATTTGTAATACTTGTTGTATGTCTTTTTCTTTCCATCCCAAACCCAGATTTGCATTTTACCCTAAATCTGACCAGTGTCTGGAAGTGTCTGAATGCTCTTGCTTCTTGTTCCTGAAAACATATTTGTTCAAGGGTGATTTAAATCCTTCCTTTTTAGTTACATGAAATTTCATGAGAAACCTTCTGCTGCTATACACAGACCGATTAGGGAAAGTGAAAATTGAACAAATGGTCATGATGTGTAAGTCATTGAGAGCATATTTCTTTTTTTAACCTTTTAATAGGAGGAAAACCTAAGACATGAGTCACAGGACATTACATTTTAGTTTTTCAAAGTATTTGTCATTTACTGAATATGTATTTAGGTCCAGTCAGGGTCAGAGTCCTGGTGAAGTTTCAGTGAAACTCTTGATAACAGCTGAGAACAAAGCCATGGGTGGGCTGGTTAATCCCTGTCTGGGGCACTGACTGTGACCAAGAAAAAGGGAATTACAAGGAGTATATGGAATCACTGTAGTGTATCTAGCAGGGCCTGTGCTTCCACACACTGTTCTTACTCTAGAAGCAGTACAGCAGCATATTAGGGACATTTCCTGAAATAAATATCCACATCTCCATCAACAGGGTCCTGAAAGACTTTGAAAAATAACTATTAGTCTATCTTTGCTTTATTTCTGTAAGCTATGGACAAGCTCAGTGCTGTGAAGTTGCCTCTGGTTTCTCTTTCCACTGACAATAACTGAGGCATTAAGCCCCACTGCTGTGTGTTCTGCAGGGGGCAGTCTGAGCAAAGCTTTTATTTTCTTTTCTAGTACAGAAAGCTGGGAAAAGCTGTTTTGCCAAACCAACATGTAGAACATTAATGATCAATGTCCAAAATGTTTTCAGTGCTGGTTAGCTAAAATTATTTTAAAATTTGTCTAGCAGAGTATTCAGAATGAGTCATGTAGAAATGAGTATTTATGTTCCCTCTGA